GTGAGCAGGAGTGGGTGTGAGCAGGAGTGGGTGTGAGCAGGAGTGGGGTTGAGCTGAAGGGAGTCTTTAGGTGAAGAGTAGAGGTGTGGCGTGAGGACAGGGTTTGAAGCTCTAGGACAAGGAGAAACCGAGGACATTAGAGGGAGCTGAGCAGGGTTGGGGGTGGAAGGGCACTGAGGACTGAGGTGAGGAGAGGATTTGCTGGTGGGAGGTGAGGACCAGCTCTCTATGGCTGCTGACATTGGGGATTGGTCTGGGGTGGCCTGGGATGGGAAGCCCCTTGTGCAGTAGCAGGGCTTAGGTGGTGGCCATACCTGCCGCCTTGGTGGAGCCGCTGGTGAGAATTACTTTACTAGATGGGTGGGGGGGCTTCATAAGGTGACACTTGACTTGAGAAACATGTGGGGTTTTTTGGGGGGAGGGTGTTTGGGTTTTTTTGGTTTTTATTTTAATTTTTATTTTGTTTTGTTTGAGACAGGGCCTCACTCACCCTGTAGAGTTGACTGGCGTAGAACTCCGTGTAGACCAGGCTAACCTCCAGCTCACAGAGGTCCACCTGTTTCCTCCTGAGTGCTGGGATTAAAGGTGTGCGCTAGGTTATAGAAAACAGGTTTTTGTAGCGTGAAGGCTGTCACCTTGGCAGCACTGCCTGAGTTGTGCTTGGTGCCTGGAAGGAGTTGGGCGTTGCCATGCGACCACCGTTTGTTTTCTCTGCCTGCCTCATGAGCAGAATTGGCCTTGTTTAATTCATAACTGGGGAGGGACAAAGAAATGGTGTGTGATGAACACCTCAGGTGACAAGGAGTGCTGAAGTAAATAAAATCGAGTTTTCTGTTGAATGTTTGAGTTTATTGTATGCCTACTTATAGCAAAATGTGTGGTCCTTAATTAAATGTTTAATTTGGAATGTAATTAGTATCTTTCTTTTAAAAAAAATGTCTAGCAGGAGTGTAACTTAAACTGTTGGATGACCCTCTGAGCAAAGGCGGGGAACCCAAGGTTTGAGATCAAAAATAGTAACAGATCAGAAATAGACACATCAGAAAGCAGACTTCCTCCGAGCATAGCAGGAAAAAGTCACACTTTTCAACACTTTTTTAGCCTTCTTCAGAGCCAAGCAACCATTGTTAAAAATACAAGGCAAATTTGTAGTAATTAACTCTAAAACTGACTCATGCTTATAATTTATTTTTTTTACAACCATTACTCATAGCATAAACACATCTGAGGATATAAAGAAAGAATGAACTTATATTTTAAGCAATTTGTCCTTTGACCTACCCCCTTTACTCCAAACCTAACAAAATTAGTATTCATTGTTTAATACTAAATTAAAGAATTTATTAAGGTGAGAAACTTACTAAGCCATCTCCTGACCTTAGGAACACAAAAGGGAAGTAAGATATATTGATCATACTGTTTTTATATAAAGATTGTACTTGATGCTAACTTTGTACCTGGTCATCGGATTCTCTAGTGGTTACTGTAACCTAGAAAATATTCAGTAAACATTGTTTAATGGTGACTTTATCCTTTATGATTCACTGTGCAGTTTGTGTAGTGTTTGATTGTTGACAGTAATTACTATTTTCATCAAATAAATGCTTTGATGTTAGAATTGTCTACTTAGAATATTACTCTTAAATTTTTTCTTTTGAAAATAAACTCATTTAAAAAACCCTCCAAATAACTAAAAACATCTCATATCCAAATTAACTGGACCCATGGATCTTATAGATAACACTGAAGTGTGATGACTATAAAAACAGCTTTCTGGAAAAATTCCCGGGAAATGGCTCAAAGCTTGTATATACTGAAGAGGACTCCTCAGATGGGAAGAGGGAAACAAATTTCTACCCTGAGCCCAAGCTCCACATGCTCCATCAAAGCAGCCAAAACTAGTACAAGAGTCAAAACTCCTTCTGGCCTAAGAACCAAGGACAGAGCTCAGAACTACTACAGTCTTTGAAAAGCAGGGCGTGCGGTGGGAGTGGACAGCGTCCCGAAGGGAGAACTAGAGAGCTTTCCTGGGACAAATTCTGTAGAAATCTGTGCATAACCAGACTCAGAGCCGCTTACTGAGAAGGATCCAAGAATCAAGCAAGACTCAATCTCCCATTTAAGACATAGAATTTGAATTCGAAGGCAACCACGTAATGACCTGCTTAAGAAAGAGTTACCTGAAGAAGGTAACAAAATTCGGAACCCCTACAGTGCACATTGAGTTCGGAATTACTTCACTGAAAAATATGACTCATTTTATAGATAAAAACTTATCCAGAAGTTATCCAGATATTAGAATTATTGGATAAAACAATTTAAAACAGTTACAATTTTATCCCATATGTGAAGGAGACTAATGATTGTAATGAAAGAAAATATATGACATCTCAACAAAGGAAGTGAATTTTATGTGTAACATGTCTATTTCTAGTAAGTATAAATATGTGTGTGTATTACATATCAAATAGAAATTCTAGAGCTGGAAATTATATTTGAAAGCAAAAAGTTGAATGGGTAGGTTCATTAGAACGGAGATGACAGAACAGTCAGTAAACTTGCTAATACAAAGCGAGAACCAGTAGTAGTGTTTCCAGTCAAGTCACTCAGGAGGTAGACGTCTACGTAGCAAGTCCCAGACCTGCCAGGGCTACATAGTGAGACCCTATGCCTAGAAGGAGACATGAAAAGAAAAGGCTCCCTTGAATTATAACAATAAATAATAATTACAGTTCAGCATAACACAGAAAAAATGGTGACGCTGTGGTAGGTATTTCTGCAGACGTTGATACTTTAGGGTCTTTTTAGTTGTTTACATAAAGAACTTACTTGTTGGTTCCTGGCAGTTCATTCAGCATACACCCATGCAGTTTAATCACAAGCCGTGTTACAGCATCTTAATCTCCTTAATCAATTTCTGCATAGTTGGCAGAAATTGATGGTTTTTTTCTAAAAATTACTTTAAAAATGTAATTTTAGAAACATGTCCATGGAAGGCAGGCTAATGGTTCTGTAAAGATAGTCATATCTTAATTCCCAGAACCTGTGACTGTTACTCTGCTGGTCAGAAGTGCCCTAGGCTTGTTCCTGATTCAGCTGCCCTCTAGTTTAAGAGCTTACTCTTGTGTGTGTGTTAGCTACCTATCGCTGCAATAGCTTATGGGAACATGTACGCTCAGTGGAGCAGTTCAAGCCCCAGGAGACTACAGTCAAGTCTGTTGAACCCGAGGTTATCACAGGTGTTGTCTAAAGGGATGTTCAGTTTCAAGTTCATTCACATATCTGCTGGCTGGTTTAGAAAATGTGCTTCTAAGTTGTCTCATGTAGACTTCACAAGCCTTCCCAACCACTGTGCATGAGAGATGCCTAAGACAAAACTCAGCCTTTGAAATGTGTGATTCTGAATGTAACATCCTGTTATTCTGTTATAACCAATTTCTTAAAAAAAAAAAAAGTCCACAAGTCCATCTCATGTTCAAGGACAGAAGAGGTTACATGATGGCATGAACACCAGGGATTTAGGGATTTGGCACCACTGAAGATGGTTGGAGTAGTTGTCTATCACACATCTAAATGAGCGAATTCCTTAGTATGCTATTATCCACTTTATAATATTTCTAACTTAAGTCTTAAACAGATGAGAAGAAAAAAAATTTTTTCTGCTGTGCTGTCCAAGGTCATAGTCTGCGGTGAAGGCTGACCGCCTGTGCTGTGAGTGTGGCGCGGTTGGTAGTGTGCTCGCATGAAGCCTTCGATTGGACCCTTGGCCCCATGTAAAACTAGGTTTAGTGGCAGAGCCAACACTCCAAACACTCTGGATTTAGAAGTAGGGGGATTAGAAGTTTAAGGCTATCTTATCTATATAGTGATTTCAAGGCCAACCTTACTTACATGAGACCCTATTTCAAACAAAACAAAACCAAGATACAAATAGACCTCAGCCTGAAAAATAATAAAGACTTATAGCTATGTGGTTATTGTAAAATGAAATGGCAAGACCAAGAGTTGTTTAAAATATATATATAGGGCTCTTTAACAACCAAGAGCAAAGGACATTTTTAAATGGGCAAGGTATGTCTGTGCACTCATTTCTATCACTTATATAAATAAATACAAAATAAAATCACAATGATATGATTATACTACTGCTGAAATAATTTAAATTGAGAAACTAACAGTGCCAGGTTTCAGGATCGCAGTGCTGAAAGGGCTCCTAGCACACAGCTTTGGTGAAGTTGCGCTCCTGCTGTGCAGCCCAGCAGCTGTGCTGACAAATGTTTGCTCAAAAGAAATGAAACTTTGTATGCGCAAAGCCGCGCTAGCACCTGAATACTCAAGCAGCCTTACTATAGAGACAAAAAAACTAGAAATAGTTTTGTGATTATAATCATACACACACACATACACACTAGGGTTTGGTTAACATTTGGTGAATAAAACAGCACGGATAAATTACAAAAGCATTATTCTCAGTCAAACAAACTAAATATAAAACACGACACACTTTGTGATTCCATTATTTGAGTCCTGAAAAGAGGCAAAACTATGACAAGGTCTGTGATGGTTAGTGCTGATTGCCAACTAGATTGAGACATGCCTAGATTAGTAGAGCGCACTTTTGAATGTCTGTGAGAAGTTTCTGGAGAGCATTTGCTGAGGCGAAAAGACCCATGGGGAATATGATTGGCACTGTCCCCACAGGCTGGAGGCCCAGGTAGAGTACCAGGGAGAAAGGAGAGGGCTCGTGGCATGGTAGTCACCCTGCTTCCTAGCCACTCTGAGAGCAGCCTTCCTGCATTTCGTCCTTCTGTGCTGTGATAGACTGTGAGCACTGAAACCATGAGCAGAGCACGTCCTTCTTTAAGTTCTTCCTGTGCTGTATTCCATCGCAGTGGTGACAATCTAATGCGAAGCTTATTAGTTAAGTAGGATTTGGGAAGATGGTTTTCTGTGAAGACTCAAAACAGAACTTTTGAGATGATATAGATGTTGTGTATAATTGTGCTTAGACTATACATTTTGAAAACTCAAAACTATAATTATTGGATTAAATTATACCAAAACTAAGCTGAATTCAAACAATTTTTTAAAAAAAGTTTATGTATACCCACACACAAATTCACTTAAGCATTTGCTGATCCAAAAGCAATTACATTTGAAGCAATTGTGCTTTTTAGAATTTTTTTTTTTTTTTTGACGAAGAAGATGGTGGACAACATACAGGCATGGTCTGCTATAATCGCGGGGGAAATAAACCAGAGGAAGTTAGATACAGCTATGAGAAGAGTGGGGTGATTGCCAAAATATTTCTAGTTTTAGTAGTAAAGTGTAATAGGAAACTTAGCAACAGAACAAGAGAAAACCCAGAGTGTATCCTAGAAGGATTGTCTCAGCTGGGAGGTGCTGTCTCCTCCCTTGGAGGGAGAGTGCCAGTGGCCTTGCTCAGGAATGTGACTTGCTTCTGGGAGCCCAGGAAGGGAATATTCAAGTCAAAGCTGGAATTAGCAAGCAGGAAAGAAAACATATTCAGACGACTCCCATCCAGGTCTCCAGTTCAGTTTCATTCCTGCGCTATTTAATGCTCAGTGCAGGTGTAACTGTTCCGTTTCTCTTTGTTCTATTTCTCTCTGTTCTCTTTTCCTTTTTTCTATATTATTCTTTTTTGAATTAATTCCAAAAGAATACAAACAGTTGAATGAAATGAGATTAATATGAGATATGAAGATAGAATTTGGTAAAGAGAATTGAAAAGAAAATCAATCTGTAATGGTGGCGGTAGAATATTCATTGAATCAAATAAAAAGCTCATAGAAAAAACTTCACCAATAGAATGGGTCAAGGGGAGGACAGAATACTAGGGCTTTATGACAAGGTGGCTGAATGGGAACATTCAATGACAAGGAAAAATTAAGAAAATATAAACATAATATACAAGAATATAAGATCTAGGGGACACCATGAAAAGACCAAATCTATGAATCATGGATACAGACAAGTTTCATGCTACAGACATAAAAAGTATTCTCCATAAAATCATAGTAGAGATTTTCCCAAATCTAGGGGGAAAAGCTTATCTAGGTGCAGGAGATATTAAGATTTTCAACTAATGAGACCAAGGGGAAAAAAAACTCAATCAACTAGTTAGAAATTAAAGATGAAGAGAAAGTATGCAGAAAGCCGTGAGAGAAACACCAAGTCACACATAAAGACAGGCTTATCAGAATAAAGCAGGCTTCTCAAGCAAAACTCTAAAAATCAGGCAAGTTTGGAATGAAGTATTTCAAGCTCTGAAAGATTTTCTGTCCAGGTAGCCAGCAAAACTGTCATACTGGAAGGAGAAAGGAAAGCTTTCCTTAGTAAAAACTAGTGAAAGAATCGATAATCACTAAGCCAGCTCTTTTCATCTTTCAGAATGAAGATAAACATCCACAAGTCTATAGGAAAGGATATTGTGCTGAAACAATAGTTAAGCAAATGAGGATTAAGAAAACACATGCCTTTATAATGGTCTTTATTCCCTAATTAAAAGACAGGTCAACACATTGTAATCTTGTATTTGTTGCCTTTAAGAAGTGCTCCTCACCGTCAAAGACAGCCACAACCTAAGGATAAAAGAATGGAAAAAGGTATTTCAGGCAAATGGAACTAGGAAGCAAGCAGATATCACTGTTCTAATGTAACAAAGTAGACTTTAAGGAAGCAATTCATGAAGAGAACATTACCATTCTAAATATATGTACCCTTATACATACATAAATACACACACACACACACACACACACACACACACACACACACACACAATTAGAGGTAAGGAAAATCCAACACAGTAGTAATGGGTGATTTCAGTACCTCACACTCACCAATAGATTATCTCAACAAAAAGTAGAGAACCGTCTGAGTTATATGACCTCAAATCAAGTGGCCCTACAATATATCTGCAGGACACACATTTCTCACCAACCCATGGAACCTCCTCTAAAATAGATTTCTAATATGACATGAATTTCTTGTTTTCTCTCTGTTCACAATGGAATAAAAATAGAAATCAACTGAAAGAGAAACTGTAGTACATACTTAAACTCATGGAGATTGAACAACAGGCTGTTGAATGATGAATGGATCATTGAAGGAATCAATAAAGGAATTTTAAGAATGCTATAACCAAAAAAATATGAAAATCCAACATACTGGTACTAGATGCAATGAATGCAGCCCTAAGAGGGAGCTTATAGTTACAGATGCCTTCATTAAGAGATCTCTAATAGCTTAATCATATACTATATGGGTCCTTAGATAAAAACGATCTAAACCCAAAATTAGTGGATAGAAATAACATGGCAGTAATTAAGATGTAAAATGAAAAAATACAAAGTATCAGAGTTCTTTAAAAAGAAAAGATTAAAAATGAGAAACAAAGTCAACAAACCCTCAGCCAAACTAACCAGAGAAAATAGAAGGCACAAATTAATGAAATTAGTAATGAAAAGAGAGACATTACAACAGATAACAATGAAATTCCAAAGATTGTTAGGATGTTCCTTAAATAATCATTTCCAGTAAGCTAGAAAATTGTATAAAAATTGATTTTCTTGATGCATATGACATACAGAAGATAAACCAAGATGAAATAATTTAAACAGATCTGTAACAAGTATCAAGATTGAAGCAGCAATTAAGAACAAAACAAAGACTTCAAACAAAAGCGGTTCAAGCCCAGGTGGATGCACTACTGAATCCACTGGACCTGGAAAGAACAGCTAACACCAGTGCTTCTCAAACTATTCCATAAAATAAAAACGGAAGGAATACTGTCCAGTGAAAGCTAGGATTGCCGTGATAACAAAACCAGTGCTAGAGGCTGAGCCTAGAGCTCATGTGCTAGGCAAGGCAAGCACTCTGCTGAGCAGTGATTCCAGCCACATGCTTTTTTTTTTTTTTTAACTTCCAAGGTAATGTATGAAGAAATCTGAACTCTTGCTAGTAGGACTAAATTGTAAACTAATACTGTATAATTCCATAGAGAAGCCCTTTCTGTCTAAGATTACTGACAGGTGTTGGCTTTTCAGGCCTTCGTTGTGGTAATGTCAAAGGACTGGGACTGGAAGGAGGCCACACTGTCGTGGGGGGTTCAGGTAGAAAGCAAGGAGCCATAAGGTTACTTGGCAAAGGAAGTCACAATCATGATGTGCTTGAAATGTTCTAAAATGAAAAGTCAATTACTGACTCATGGTTAGTGTGTTTATATTGGAAAAATACTGGAAAATTATCGTGATACTGACGTATTAAAATGTTTAGGCTTTCCAATCAAAACTGCAGTGAAAGAGTTGCTATACTAAGGAACTGGATACTTACGTACATAGAAGAAGGGCTGGAACAGTATCAGTTCTATGTATTTTAAAGTCTAATCTCTTTCCCTGAGAAGCATCTAGTGATAGAATAATAGAGAATGATGGTCATACATGAAAGAGGAAGTGAAACTAAGAAATGAAGATTTATTCAACTTAGTAATGTATCAGATATTTTGTGTTTTCAAGTTACATATTGTGATAATGATAACAGGACTATTTGATATTATCCTTATTTTATAGTTGTCAAAACTTGTCTCCAGAAGAAATGCTCAAATTCTAATTAATTCAGGTACCATAGATTCACAGAGGACCTTGCTCCTCAAAAGTTGAATTAAAATCACCAGGGGTACATATTCATAAATCAGACCCAGAGCCAGTATGATTGATCATCATGGTAGGTGTGAGCAGGAATCTGTATTTTTAGCCAGCTTAATAGGTAGTAATTTTAAAGAAGTCTGACAACATTTCTTGAAGCTTGGTACTGAGATATTTTGGTGTTTGATTATTGTAAAATTTAGAATTAGTAAAAATAAAAATTAGTCTTAGAAGCAAGACATGGTGGCACAGGCTAACCTGGTCTCCAGAGTTCCAGCACAGCCAGGACTACACAAAGAAACCCTGTCTTGAAAAAATTAACCTTATAAAGATTATCTGTATCTTTGGCTTTGACTATACAGATATAATCTGTACTTTTATAGTGTCCTTAAACATAGCTATGTTTCTCAATGACAAACTCTCAATAAGGAAAGTTAAAAGTTTAAAAAGACAGTTTTGGCAGGTTATTTGTTACCCATGGAGTATTCAGCATAGGGTGTTCTTTACTAACCCTGTAGAATTATGTTGTAGACTTCCCACAGTGGTCTTACCAGACAAAAATATTTTTTTTCTGATTTTTTTCAATTTTCCTCATCTTAAACTACTTATAACATGGTAATTTTATTTACCATTTTTATAGAACATTGAGATGAAAGTATATTTTATTAGTATAATAAATATAGTGGATAGCAAATAGGATAGGATTTATAAATTTATTTATAATTGTATTTATAATACTAGGTCTTTTATTAAATAATGCTCTTCTAAATTGTAATATTTTGTTACCTTAACAATTACATTAACCCCCAAGGTTCTTTGTAGTATCGATATGCCAGTTTTTCTTAAATTGTAACATTAATTTTTCGTTATTCTGTATCTCAACAGTGATTCCTTTCTTTCACACCGAGAAAGTATGCGCCACATGATGAGAAGTTTCTCTGAACCTTTTGGAAGAAACTTGCTCAATATCTCTGATGGTAGAGGAAGAACACACAATCGTAGAGATAATGATGGTGAAGATTCCTTAACTGTAAGTTAAAGACAGCAAGCAAGAAAGTTCTGTAGAAACATGATTTTTTTTTTTTTAAAAAAAGTAGAAGTTACATACTTACAATGAGAGGGTATAACTAATACTTCTATCATGGAAATATTTGTTACATAAAGGTGAGGCATGTTGAAAAGTTAAAACCTGGAACAATGATTTGTTAGTGGTACAGAATTGCTCTGTGCTATTAAAACTTTAGGACCACAAGGTTGTACAATTATAAGCAATGCTAGGCCATTGTTTCTTGCATGTTTCCCCTCTGAGCACATCCTCCCCTGTGCTGCATTAGAGCCAGCAGGAACTCCTAGAATCACATACTTCATATTTTAAATAGTAACAAAATCTAGTGTGGTGTTCTATCTTTATTAGATCACTAAGCTCTGGTTGGGACACATTTGACGTTGAGAACTTACTAGTCTTGATTTCATAAGACTTGGATAACTGCATATTCTCAGCAGAATTTTCTGCGAGCCCCCTGGGAGGGCACAAACAAGGCAAAGTTTACACATGTGTGTTAATCATTGTGGGTTTCACCTCCTCTTCCTGTTACTTTTCAGCTGCCAGGAATGGCATTTCCATAAAAATGAATCTTCACAATTGAAATGTAGACATTTAGAACTCAGCAGGCATATGACTGATCAATCCACAGAATTCTAGACTACTCTAGAAAAACGTTTTCATGTTTTCTTCACAATAAACTTAATGAGAGCAAAATAGTTTGGCTCATCATAAAACCTGATAAATAAAATTGCCTGTGCCTTTCAAATAAGTGAGCTTTACCCAGTCATACTTTTCTTTTCATTAGTAAATAGTCATTTATAGATGCTGTATCTATAGTATTATAAATTAGTGTTACATGATGAGACATACATTTATATAATTTTAATTTAATCCATTTTTTAAAGCTAAAAAGTAATACCAGGAAAAATTGACAGTGCAAGAGCACATTAATTATGAATGTTGAAAACCATTTGAATATTAAAATAGTTTTGTATTTGCTGTAGCCATAGCAAACATTTATTTTTTGGATTTATATCCATAAATGAGCTACTTATAAGCTTTCACGAAGGGAGCAAGGAAAGGTAATTTTGTTACCTTACTTGTAAGCATATAAATGAGACCTGCTTATAATTCAGCTGGAGATGTATTGACGGCATTTATACAAATGAGCAGTAACTCCATTGGACACCTGTTGGAGCAGAAGTAACTGTCTCTTCCACAGACACTTGTACTAAAAAGTACCACATGTTAAGAAAAACTAGAATAAGGAATACATAACCAAATAAAGAGATGCATTTCTGTGCAACTGTAGTTGGTAAGATGCATTATTTAGAATTATTTGCATATAAGTATTCTTCAAAATTATATTTGTCTCACTAAAGTTTCTTTAAATTGAAAGGAAAACACATAGAAGAAATGTGATTAATCAATGTCATGATCAAATAGGAAAGTCAAGTAAGAAGATAATTTGGAATATAAAGAAAGTTCAAGACTAACATTTAAATGAAAATTTAAAATGATTGGTCTCTTATTTTTATGTATAGTTTGGCTGCTATAATAAAACTCTTCAGAGTGAATAGCTTATGAACAGCATACAGTGCAAGCCAGCAAGTGGCACCCCTCTATGGCCCCTTTATCAGCTCGTGCTTCCAGGATCCTGCTTAAATTCTTGTTCTGACTTCATTTGATGATGAGCAGTGGTTTGGAAGCTTAAGTCAAATAAGCCCTTCCCTCCCCAAGTTGCTTTGGTTATGGTGTTTTGTCACAGTGGTAATAGCCCTAACAAGGACACGGTCTCAAAAAAAAAAAGTATAAAAACTAAATTTAGTATTTAAACTTGTTAGTTTCCTTATAACTAGGTGATATGCCAGAGGGCATCTAATATATTCTTTCAATACAAAGAAATAGAAGTAAAAACTTTATTGGTGCATCCAACATGATTCTGTTCTAAATACACATAATTTTGTGATTATTCTCTTGTCTATAGTAATACTGATTTTAAAATGGTAAAACTTAGCCAAATGTAGTAGCACACATCTTTAATCCCATCACTCAGGAGGCAGAGGCAGACAGAGTTCTGTGAATTTGAGGCCAACCTGGTCTACAGAGCAAGTTCCAGAAGAGCCGAGATTACACAGAGAAGCCCTGTCTCAAAAACAAAAAAAACAAAAACAAAGAAAAAAGTAAAACATTTTACATTGTTTGTCTGTATGTGTATCCATAGTTTTCTTTTAGGCGACAGAGCCTTGCTATGTAGTCTAGGATGGCATGGAGCTCACTCTGTGGTGCAGGCTGACTTTGGAATTCCAGGTCTTCCTGCCTCGGCCCCCCTACCTGAATGGCAAGATCTGGGGTCTGTATATCTTGCCCACCTTGTAGCTATACACTTTAACTCAGAAAAATCAAGTTTTACTTAGAGCACTTGAATCCTTCAAGCAGTCAATAGTTTTAACTTAAAACAAAGTTAATTGCATTTGAGGGAATGAGCCCATGTGGAAGTTAGAGAAGTCTTGGGGAAGTCAGGTCTCTCCTTCTAGTGTGGGTCCTGAAGACCAACTCAGGTCAGCAGGCTTGGTTCCAAGCGCCTTCAGCCACTGAGACACCTCACCAGCCCCATCCCTTTATTCCCATAGAAATGTATTCTTCTCTACATGTTAGGAGTTGTATGAACTGTTTGATTATTCCATCTATGGTATTTAACTTGGTTTGCCTGCCATTTCTGAAACCTAGGCTAATTTCTTATCCCTTGAACTGATCTTTAGGAAGCATACATTTTTATCTGTTAACTCATTTGGTAATGATAATAATGCCATTAAATGTCTTGTTTTAATTGGTTCTAGCAGGAGTAATGGATCTTTAAAAATATGGAGTAGAAATAGCAATGACATTAGCAAATGCTTTGATCCTAGTCGTTATATTTGATGCTTTAATTAATTTTGAAATGTTGGCGTTAGTCTATAGGAAAGACTTTCCATTACCTCACTAAAGTGGCCCTATTTTCAGTCATGCTGTGGTGTCTGTCTGCTGTCCAGGCAGATGCTGCAGTAAACAGAGCATCTAAAGGCTCACTGAGTATCTTTAACTAAAAAGCTCTGGAATGGCTGTAGCCCTGAGCTGCATGACTCTGCAGTGCATGTTTATATTTTAGGTGTGCCCATATGATAAATGCAACCAGAATTTATTGTGTATTTTTTTTCTAGGCAACAAGTTTTTCTCTTGTGCCTTTTGGAAGGCTTGGTGGTATGGTTCGTGTCATCAGGCAGAAATTATTTTCGCTATATTTTTAACATAGTTTTATTAACTCAAGCAGAGTGAGTTTGCATGCATCTCACTAACTTCCAGAATGGCTTTTAAGCTTTGTACTGACAACCTTGGTTGCATGTATTAAATTTACCCAAGAGTACATAGACATGGGTTTTCTAAAGTAATTACCAGAGTTGTTAGGACCAGGGCCTGGGCCTGACTGCACTAACAAGCCAGACTTACCCACTGATCATCTATAAGCCAGTTAAACAGACAAGTAATAGTGAAAAGCGAAAAAGAAGAGATGTGTTCAGTGTTGCCACTCTGGGGAGACTAAGGTCCAGAGCCTCCCCAAGTCCATCTGCAGGGTCTTTACGTAGACTTTGGTATAGAGGGAAGATGTGTGGATTAAGTAAGCAGTCCTAGTCACAGTGTGCTCCCAGCCATCATGGACCCATCGTTGACTCAGCTCCAGTCTCTCCTGCAAAGCACCCAACATGTTGAACTAACTCTTAAATCTTTTCCTGGGAGACAAGTTCCTCTACTGGATAGTACCAGGCTTTAGCCTTTTTGTTTTCCTACCGTGAAATTCTCGAGGAAAATCCAGTTCTAGGGGATTATTTCAATAGTCTGATAACCAAATGGAGGCACAAATAGGTTTTTAGAATGTCTTCATTTCTGTCAAGATCATTGGTTTTCAACTTTCCTAATGCTGTAACCGTATAATACAGTTCCTTACGTTGTGGTGACCTCCCCAACCATAAAACTGTTTTTTCTTGCTACATCGTAACTGTAATTTTGCTACTGTTATGAATTATAATTTAAATATTTTTGTAAATAGTTTGCCAAAGGGGTTGTGACCCACAGGTTGAGATCAAGATGGTTACAGTAAGTCAGTCAAAATGTAAAATTAGTCTTCAGAAATGGAAAAATAGATTTTGAGGAAACATTCACGTGCTGTTCAAAGAAACTTGATAATTGTGTTTCAAAGATGGACTTCCACCTGCCTGTGATGACTTTTCACAAGGTGACAAATTATGATATTTGGGAACAGTCAGGTTGGCCACTTTCTCTCTGACTTCAGGTTTTTCTTGCTGCCTTTACAAATCTGGGTATTGTATAGCAGAGCTGCCGGCCTGTGTGACTAGTTTGCTAGTTTCCAATGCCAGTAAGTAGTCCAAGGACTGGAAGACAATAGACTTAGACTGCTTGTAGCTATATTTTCATGAAAAGGTTATTTTCATTATTTTGCACTAAATTTAAGTTATTTGAATCTCTGAAGTTTGAGATGAATATTTGTCCTCTCTAAGGAATTAATTACAGAAGAAAGCAGTGTATCACAAAGACACTAGAAAAATGGTGAGGAGGTGTGCACTATGGTAGCACACGGGAAACACAAGACCGCAGCGCAAAGCTTTTGAGTGTAATGGTGAAGGTCAATTAGAGGTGAATTTTAAAAATATAGTATTTATGTGTGGGGATTTATACACATTTGTAAAGGGGCCAAAGAGAGTGTCAGACACTTGGTAGCTGGAGTTAGAATTACAGGTAATAGTGAAGTGCTTGACTGCTAGGAACTGAGCTCAGGCCCTGCCCAGGAGAGTATGTGCTGTCTGAGCCGTCCTTCCCTAGAGAAGACTTTGAGCCTTAAGGGTTCGTAAGAAGATAAAAAAGCAGGGAGGAGAAAGGAGGACTCTGGCTTAAGAAAACTGACTATGTGTAAGTGTATATACAAACATTTGTGTATATGTAATGTATCTATATATGTGTATGTGTGTGTATATATCTAGGCATATAATGTGTGTATATATTTGCAGTCTTCTAACTCCCTAATTTATGTTGTCTGTTTATGATTTTTGCATCTGGTCCTTTTTCTTTAGCAAATCATTCTAAATGTGTAGCCCTTAAATTATTTTTGCCTAGTTGGTTACTGCATGATACAGTAAATTGGGGAATGTTTCTTAACTGGTTTGGGAAGATTTATATGCATTGGTGTTGTAGTTAATAACATACTTCCTGATATCCTGTAGCATGCAGATGTCAACCCTTTTCAGACAATGGATCGGATGATGTTAAATATGCGAAACAGTATGCAGGAGTTACAAAGAAACTTTGTAAGTACTGAAAACAGACGGATGAGAACACTATTTTCAGCTACTGTAGTGATTTTCAAACATATTTAACCACAGTTAGCATAGTAAAAGTAGTGATTCCATGGCTAACCATGAACAATATCACATGAGTAGTTGCATGATTAACCCATATACGATTCTTAGGTAATTGATTCCCAAAACAAAAGTTAAGTGATTATATTAGAATATTATAATTATAATAACAGCTTGCAGATATTTTCTCTTACTCAATTAAAAAATTATAATTATATCTCATTAATTTATTTACAACCTAAAGGTCTCATAAGTCACATTGGTTGGCTTACAAAAATATTATGAGTCGCTATTGTAAAGGTACACTTTATAAATTTGCATGTTTTATTGTTACCTATTTACTTTGAAAGTTGCATTACATGTTAGTAACTACATTTCAATATTTAAAAAAAATTCTGAAAACAAAAATGGTTTGGATGTTAGGTTAGCTCCATACAGTCTAAGTATTATAAATGAACACTAATACGGCTACTGTTGTGCTTATAATATTAGCATCAAAACAAGCAACTTGGTTTGGTCTGAAGGTGACCTGTATCATTTCAATATCCAATTTGAATTCTGTGGATCATTTAAGAATGCTAAAATCTAGGGTATTGGCAATGGTTTTAGGAATAGATCAATTTGGTACCCAAAGAAAGTGTGACAGTTCCTGGTACATTCCTAGTTCACTTGATCTTGATTGGCAGGACATTACAAGAGATAGCCTCGCCTAAGGAGTGCATCTTCTTTGTCTAGACCTGAGCCACACAAACTGGGACTCCAGTCACTTGCTATTCTTTACACAAGAGATAGAAATTAGCACCAAAAGTCGAAGTAGATTAGGGCACCTAGTTCCATTTTGAACAACTATATAGCTAATAGTATTGATTATTTCAACTCTTGGCATTCGTTCTTTATATTTAACTAGAATCTTAATTTACATTGCCTTTGTCTCTAGGGTCAGCTTTCAATGGATCCAAATGGGCATTCGTTTTGTTCTTCCTCTGTCATGACCTATTCCAAAGTAGGAGATGAACCACCAAAGGTGTTTCAGGCCTCAACTCAAACCAGGAGGGCTCCAGGAGGAGTGAGTTTTTATTACTGCTGTGTAGTCTTACTGTGTAGGCCCTGCTGCCCTCAAACATGGAGCAGCCCTGCCTCAGTCTCCTAAGTGAGGAACTGCTGGTATAAACTACCATGCCTGGATCTGAGTATTTCTCTATGGAAACCATTAACATCCAACTGTGGGTAACTGATGGAAGTTGAGGTTTACCGTCACATAAATAATCCTTATTGCATTTGTACATTGATAAGATAGATACTAAAAGAAACCTTTGTTTCATGAAATGTCTACTTAGAGTTTATATATGAAGTTAAAACCTAAAGTGTTGCCGGGTGCTGGCACATGCCTTTAATTCCAGCACTCAGGAGGCAGAGACAGGCGGATCTCTGTGAGTTTGAGGTCAACTTGGCCTACAAGAGCTAGTTCCAGGACAGGCCCAAAAGTTCCAAAGAAACCCTGTCTCAAAAAACAAAAAAAAAATGTTAAAGTGTACAGAAAGGATGTATAATAAATCCATATTTCTGCCACATAGATTAATTAAATCAGCATTTTCCTCTTTTTCTTTTAAGATAATTCTTTTTTATTTTTTGAGGATGATTGTGACATATAATTCTTCTAAGATCACTTTTCCTGTCTCACAACCATTTTCTTATATCTGGAGCTTGTCATACTTGTATATTTTTATTTATTCTTTATGAATACAGCGTAAAATATAACATTATTCTATAGGTTTTTAAACTTTGCACAAATAAATAGTGTCATTGTTTGTGTCCTTCCAAACTTGCCATTGCTCAGCACATGTTTCAGAAATTTATTCAAGTTGTACCTGTGACCCAGGTTTCTTTATTTTTTATTTTAATTTCTGGTTTTGTTGGTTTTGAGGCAGGGTCTTACTCCGTAGCTCTGGCTGACTTGGAACTCAATGTGCATACTAGCCTGACCTTGAATTCATCCAGCTCCACCTGCCTCTGCCTCCTGAGTGGCCCACCATACCTAACTTTTTATCTCTTGTTAACTGCTATGTAGCACCCAGGATATAACTATAACACAGAACTTTATCAATAGTGCCATGTAAAGGAATCTAAAGATAGTATCTCTGGGCTTTTAGGGTGTGCATAGCCCCTCACCTTTAAAAATTAAATTGAACTTACCAACTTACTAACCCATAGTGATGAAAATTCTTGACTTCTACAAACAGAGACATAAAAATTTCCATTTCTCCGTTGCCTTGTAGGTTGTGGTAAGATTTTAGGTTAACAAAATAATGAATATAAAGTAATTCATTTTTAGTTCTGATGTGTAAACACACCTATTAGTGATTATCTTTGCATTGTTTAGCAAATTTACTAGTATTTTACTTTGCTGAACATAGTGAAGTCTTAATGTAAACTGATACAGTTATAGATGTCACATGGAAATCATACTAATAATCATTGGCTAGCATAAGCATTCTAATAACACTTCATGTGTTGGTAGGTGTGGTCGTGAGACTCTCCCCTCCAAGCTCACTGGAGCAGTAGTTGCACTTAATAGCTTCCGTCCATGCCATCGTCAGAGACAGCGTTAAAGGTTTTATATAGCTTCTCTTACATAACTAAGGTTTATACAACTTCTCTGTTTTATTATTTTTACAACTTGGAAAATGTTAAAATTGTAAACAGTTAAGGAAATATTATCTTTATTACCACGTCAAGTTAATAATGGAGCTAAGTATAGTTAACTCTTTTATTAATTGTGCAAAATAATGGACTTGGCAGCTGCAGCCTTGCTTCAATAAAGAGACCCTGAAGAATGTAGAATTAAATCCATTCTGTAGGATTAAATATTAGGTAAATAACTTTTACCTTATTTTTCAAGATAAAAGAAACCAGAAGAGCGATTAGAGATTCTGACAGCGGTCTAGAGAAAATGGCTGTTGGTCACCATATCCACGACCGAGCTCATGTCATTAAAAAGTCAAAGAATAACAGGACCGGAGATGAAGAGGTCAATCAAGAGTTCATCAATATGAATGAGAGTAAGTTATGGCACAAAGATCAAATAGTAGCTGCATTCCTAGGACTTCATGGATTTTTATTAGGATGAGGAATGTGTAGGCAGTGCTAGTCAGAGTCTTCAATTGTGGTCCTGTCTCCTAACACGTTTTACCTTGACTTTGTGAGGCATTGTTCAGTTTTCTTATAAGTGATAGGATGAAAGATTTGGAGTTCTTTCTTAGTAATATTATCTAATTATCCAAAGGCAAAATGAGTTTACTTTGTGATTGTCAAGAAGCTTAAAGGAATAAATAAAAATCAATCATAACTTCAATTCCCAAATACCATCCAGGTTTTGATGAACTTCTTTTTTAATAGTTTTCCGCATATATAGACATATCTTTCAACTTGATACTTTGTTGTTTTGCTCACACTCTGCTCATTTTATCCCAGTTATAACTACAAACACCTAGTATTTTTCTGTTGTTTTGCTCACACTCTGCTCATTTTATCCCAGTTATAACTACAAACACCTAGTATTTTTCAAAAGTATTCTGTGTCACCTAAAAGTTTTGTAAATATCTCATAACTTACTTAAAAGATTTTATAGTTTGTATAGATAATTTTAATTTCTAGTATATTTGGATTTCTAATATATATGTAAGATAATATACAAAATACCAAGCAAATCTTTCTTTTCTAGATTTTTATATTTATTCTTCAGTACTTTGAGCTCTTCTACTTCTTACCTTGTCTCATTATATTTTAAATTACATTAAAATTACTATTAATTGACAAGTTACTTATTTTGTCTAAATAAATATTAGTAATCAAGCTTTTATGTTTTAATTAAAATTGAATTATATTGCAATGTCACATTTATCTCATTTTTAGAAAATACTTTGAATAATGTTTTATCATAATAAAGAGTTTAAATGTGTATTATTTCAGAAAAGAAATTATTTTAGATAAAAATGACTATTATGGGCTGGTGAGACTGCTCAGGGGATAAGATAAATGCACTTATTACTTAACCTACCTCAAGTTTATCTCCAGGTGCCTACATGGTAGGAGAGAAATCATTCTTACTCAGTAAGATGGAAGCCAAATAACTGTAATCATCATGATCTTATACTGAGGCATATATTGAGGTGCCTAGAGAGACGGAGTAGTGGTTAAAAGCTAATACTTCTCTTACAGAGCACCCAAGTTCAGTTTTTACTGTCAGGATGTAGGGAGCAGAGGAAGCCCTGTGTCAGTGAAGTCTTAAAAGAATGTATATCATTGATGTGGTGACGGCCATATAAGGACCAAAGCCTCAGACCCGTGAGAAATGGCAAAGGCATTCCCCAGTAGGTCAGCCTAGGAGTTGGCAGTCTTGTTCCTCTAGTCCAAGTGTGAGCGTTTACAGAGGATTGATCGTTGTATACAAAAACTGGAAACTCCAACTTCCTCCTCCTGGCTGTTCTTACAGATTAGACTGCTGGTCCACAGAGACGACCTGTGGAGCCTAGCTAACCCCCCATCTGTGCTGCCCAGTAGAAACACAGGTTTCAGGTTGTTGTTTGGGAGTAGTTGGTGCTGCTTCAGCAGAGTGCTGGCAGCCCGCCTGACCCCGGCTTCTCTGTATGCGTGTTCCTTGTCATTTCTTTGTTCCCCCATCAGCACTAGTCAGGGTGCCAGGGCCAACCCATGTGGGTTACATCATCAGGTGACCCCCAAGTACGTGTAACTATAGTTCCAAAGAGATGCCTCTTACCTCCAAGGCCACCAGCATTTACATCCTCATACTTACACATGGACACACACAAATACATATAAATTAAAAAAAATAAATAACATACACATTTATGTATGTACATGTGTGCACTAAGTATTTTATAATAATCAATATATGGGAAAGTTTAGGGTATTTTATAAAGACAATGTAAAAGAGCAAGAACAATCATCTGTGTGTTCTTATAGAAATTAGTTTACCTACTTCATGACATCATAATTGATAGTGTTAGGAAACTGACAAGCTTGAGAAGTCAAGTCAGGAAGGTGAAGAGGTGAGTAGAGATGCAAGCGACTGACGGGCTGCTCACGAACACGAGGAGCACCTCTACCATGATGGGATGAGTCAGAAGTTCAGAAATGCGTGTGCTTGAATAAGAGGGTAATCCAGGAGCTAAGTGAAAGCCCATACCACCATAGCCAGATGATCGATAGGAGAGAACAAACAAGGAGACAACTGCAGAAGCATCCTCCTCTGTCGGAAGGTTAGACTGCCTGAAGTGTGTGGTGACCCACGGCCAAGCTGGCATAGAAACCTAAATACTTGTCCTTTCGTATAGGCGATGCTCATGCCTTTGATGATGAGTGGCAAAATGAAGTTCTGAAGTACAAGCCTACCGGATGGCCACACAATCTAGAGAACACTAGGATGCGGAGTGTGGGTCATGAGCACCCAGGGTCACGAGAACCCAAAAGAAGGTAAGAGCTGTTTCTAGGAGCAGTGCTCTTAATTAAAAGTTGGGTCATGTGGCCTGGGGAGACAGCTCATTCTGTAAGGTTTCGCCATGTAATCGCAAGGATCCGAGTTTTATAACCAAATCCTATGTTAAAAAACAAATAGCCTGACATAGTAGGATGCGCTTGTAATCCAGATCCCCAAGTCTCCACTGGCCAACCAGCCTCATCTGCCTTCCGAGTCAAAGCCTAAAGAATTATAGCCAAAATTTCTATGATCTATATATGTGCACACACACATTTACATGAACCTACCCACACATGTATTCTTACCCCCACACATAAACATAAAGCAAAAATATTATGTAACTTTATCTCTTATCACAATCTTAAGAATATCTAAGTTGTGTATATCAAAAGTAACTTTTATGAAAAAAGTAACAACTTTATATTAAATCTGAGTAGTCCATGCAAATCAAAATTTTGTTTCTGAAAACAATAAATACTATTTTAGAGCTGTTCTTAATCATCAGGGGAAAAAATAGAAGACAAAAATTCTAAGGAAACTGCATGTAGCTGTCTTGTGAAGCAATTTCCCAATGTGAATGTTCAAAGTCATAATTTCACACAAAGTTAAGATAATTATATAGACACTATAAGGAGAAAGGTTTTGTATTTAGAAAACTTAACTTTCTTACTCAGTTAAAATCCATCATTTAATTATAAATTAATTATAAATACTTTCACAGTATGTAATAGTATTGTGTAAGTATTTAATGAAATGTGCTTTTTTATGTATACTAGATAGTTTAGATAAATTTTACAAAAAGTTTTATCTTTTGTTTTTTGCTTTTGGAAAAACTGGGAAAATTAAATTGTTAAAAGTGAATATTAAAATGTATGATGCTTTTATACATTTAGTACATATTCTGAAGTTAATTCAAGTTTTTGGGAGAAACTACAACAGCCCTTGACACAGGAATCCATTCTAGACTCCAAGAGAGTACAGGACTGTTAGAGACGGCCTCACAGAACCAGCACTGGACACACGGGCCTTGAATAAATTGAAGCCTTGTGCAGAATCCCACATGCTGGCATATTTTCTTTGAAAGTACTTGGTCAGGAATTTAGAGCCTGAATGTTTTCTATTAAATGGCTTAAAAATTTGTCTCTATCTTTTCAGTAATATTTGTCTCACATTGAAAACTTATGGTTAAACTTCTAACATTGCTAAGCTTCAGCACAATATCTGGGTCCCAGTTAGAGAAAGCCAGCTCATGTTGGCTGTTGTATAAATCTGTGGCCCTAGCAGCTACATTTTCTCTTAGTAGTTCTGTCCGTTTAAATTTTCAGTAGTGAATTTCCACATGATAAAGTGTGCTGGCCAGCATATTAACTGTTAGACATGGCTGACCACGAATCCCCTTTCACACGTGGGTGGTACAGCTCAGGAGCTGAATTAAGGGTGGACATCACTAGTGGCCACCATTTTAACAACACCGTTTAAGCTGCAGGCAGTTCCGTACATCTTAGGTAAAACAGCTCCTGCCTTTTTGAATGTTCAATAAAGTAGTTTTCTAAAGTTCTGGGGGAACTTTTAAGATAAAACTCTTAAATTGTAGTGATTTTTAACTTGTTTGCAGTGACTTATAAACCATTGAGTATTTTTAAATGGTATTAATAGTCATATGTATATTTCTTAGAGAGAAATTTCATCAAAATCCAGCCGTTGAGAATGGAAGAAGATCACACGTTTTTGCGGACAAACTCAACATCAAAGGGTCACCATTGAAAATCAGCAAAAAATAAATAACAGTGCATTTCATTTGTTTAATTGGTTGTTTAACAAAGTCATGGTGCTAGATAACATACAAAAGACCAATTTGTCGTTAAATTGATACTGTACTTTGAAACTTTCTTCTGAATCTGAATGTCCTTGTAAGTTTTAGCTTTGCATTGTTCATAATTTAGGAATAAAATTGATGTTCAACAATGTGATTAAATTGATAAACATTCTATATAAAAGTCTTTAAAGCATACTCAAACTAAACACTTAAACTCAAATGCTGATTTTGCCTTCTTGGTTATTTTGATATGAACTACATCTAATACATATTATATATTTTAATTATAGATATTATATATACTATATATAGTATATATATATACATATATATATATATATATATTCCTGCATACTTGCCATGATTGATTATAGTTCTGAACTAGTTCTGTCATTTAGTTCAGAGCACAAAAGTGGATGTTAAAATAAAACATACTCAAGCTTGGCAGTGGTGGTGAATGCCTTTAATCCCAGCACTCAGGAGGCAGAGGCAGACAGATCTCTGAGTTCTGGGACAGCCTAGACTACACAGAGAAATCCTGTCTTGAAAAGCCAAAAAAGAAAATACACTCAGTAGTTTTTAGCTAACACACACAGTAGAGTGATACAAATCAAAGTTTAGTTTTTCTCAAATTTTATAATTGCTATGTACTTAGCTAGCTTAAAAACTTAAAATAGGTTCTACGATAACTGTTAGGGTAAGGCCAGTTCAGACACTGTTGCTTAGCTGTGGATTCCTGGGAATTCCCCTGGCATCAGGTTTCTCCCTACCCCCATAATGACTTCCTCTATCAAGATCTCTCTTTCATTGCTCTCCCATTCCATCCCTCCCCCAACTCAACCATCCCGTTCCCTAATGCTCTTATCCCTCATTCCCTTCCATTTACCCCTCCCAACCGCAGGTTACCCAGAAAATCTCATCTATTTCCCCTTCCCTGGACAATCCATGTATCCCTCTAGGGTCCTTGTTACCTAGGTGTGGATTGTGGTCTGGTTATCCTTTGCTTTACAGCAAATATCCACTTATGACTGAGTATACTCATATTTGTCTGTCTGGGTTACCTTACTCAGGATGATTTTATTCTAGTTCCATCCATTTCTCTGCAAATTTCATGATACCATTGTTTTTTTTTGTTGTTATTTGTTTTTGTTTTTTGTTTTTTTTTACAGCTGAGTAATACTCCATTGTGTAAATGTACCACATTTTCTTTATCTGTTCTTTGGTTGGGGGCATCTAGGTTGTTTCCAGGTTCTGGCTATTTTGAGTAACGCTGTTATGAACATAGTTGAGCAGGTGTCCTTGTGGTGTGGGTCTGTATCCTTTGAGCATATGCCCAAGAGTGGTAGTACTGGGTCTTGATTCCCAGTTTTCTGAGAAACCACCATACTGATTTCTAAAATGGCTGTACAAGTTTACACTCTCACTAGCAGTGGAGGAGTGTGTTCCCCTTACTCCACATCCTTTCCAGCATAGGCTATCTTCAGTATTTCTTATCCTAGCTATTCTGACAGGTGTAAGATGGTATCATCATAGAACCCTCATCCAGTAACTGATGGTAGCAGATTCAGAGATCCACATGCAAGCACCAGGAGGAGCTGTGCTGCCTGCACAGACACCCCAACTTTTCCATGAAAGAGGAAATTTCAAAGACAGTTCTGCCTATCTTGGCAGTTTGTCAGTCACTTTCTTCTGTGTCCTACAGAATCACTGACAGACTCTTTCACGAAGCAGGAACCCCAAAAGACTGTCTCACCTTCTTTAGGCAGCTTCAATAGTCATATTTCTGTGGGTCCTGCATGTACATAATAACATCAAGCAGTCCAGGCAAGAGTAGTTTTTTGCCCAAATGACTAACCAACTCCATAAGAAGCCTCTTCTATGCCATTTACCCTATTAAAGTAGACTGGTGCTGCCAGGAGCAGATGTGTCTCATTGTCATGAAAAGTCCTAAGTTAGTAAAACATTTTAAATGCCATATTGTGAAGGTCTCTGAAAGATTTGAAGAATACCTATCTAACTGACATATATCTATATTTAGAAGACCCGACTAATATGACTAAAAGCTTGACTATTATAGATGTATCTGTTGACCTATATTTCTTAATTATAAATTACACTTTTAAATGAGGTACACAAACACAATACCTTAATCAAGAGCAGAAATTTACATATAACAAAATTGACCTGTAGGCCCATATTTCTTTATGGTATGGCAGCCAGGCTCTCAAGCCACAGGCCACACTTGAAGTGGTCCAGTACCCTTCCTATCTGTCACTACCCTAACAAAAGGTTAGGAATCTCATGCTGGGAGAATGAAAAGGTGCTAGCCCCAGGGGGCCCTTCCTTCCTCCCCCCCCAAAAAAAGATCTCACACAATTCTTGTTAGCATTCAGGCATTACACTGGGGTCCTCAATTGCAGCCACTAAGAGCATTCCTTGTGCACATGCTCTTGTCAGTATTCAGGCATCTACACCGGCCAGCACTACGGGTCCTGGCTGAAGACTTCATCAGGCTGCAGCTGCTACCTAGAGCTCTCCCTGTGCACATGCTCTATATCCCGTGTGCGTGTGTGTGTGTGTGTGTGTGTGTGTGTGTGTGGTCTTCTGCCCTCCCTAACTCCAGAGGTCAATAAACCTCCCACCGTGAGTTCTGTTGTATGGTGTAACTCTTCTTCCATTCTTACAACTTATCAAACTACCCTACTAGATGTGAATGAAACCTGGAAGATGGGACAGTTGTTCTGAGCCTGAGAGAGAGACCTCGGCGTGTAGGAGCCAGAGGCCTCGAGGCAGGCGAGAGGCAAATTCGCGGTGCAGACAGAGCTTGAGAGGCAGAGACCTGCTTCCTCTTGAGAAGAACAGTGGGAATAGAGCGGGAATGGGCAGAGCTTGTCTCCTGCCCTCAGGCAGTGATGTAGCAGCCTTAGGATTCTGGACTGGCCAGGGGTCTTCCTGCCAGGGTGCACCCTGTCAGGTGTGGGGCCAGCATAATGCCGGAATCCTAACAAGGACCGCACTTTGACCAAGACTGTGTAGATGAGCATATCCTGGATGCTCTAAACGCGAACTTGGGGGTTCACTGGGTTTCTCTGTCCCTCTTTCCAGTGTGGCCAAGTTGAGTAGATCTGTTTTATGTTCCATTTTTAATTTTACTCCTTTGACTCTTGAGGACAGGTGACTGGGCCTGACTCGAGACACTGGTTGTGACTGAATAAAAATGAAGATTTGCTAATCCTACTGGGTGAGAATGAGACCATTACCATCATTTTGAGCCAAATTGGAAGCAAGTTTTAATTAAATAGAGGCCAGGAATCCAAGTCCATTCCAGAGTTCCCAGAGAATGGCCATGAGCTACGCTGACCAGGCACTTACAAGGGCAACCAAACAAGAACAGGAAATTGAAAACTTGTTATCTTATGTAAACAATAGCCTCCAGCGTTTCAGGAAGTTTCTGTCCTTGGGCCAGGAGCTTGCAGGCTTGAGGCATTTTGTTTTATGGCTCTCTTAGGCACAGTAATTAAAAAAATAACTTTGGCTCTCACACCTGCTCGCTCCCAGGTATGGTTGAGAAGAAGGGTTTTAGTATAGATGTGAGGGAGAGAGGAGCTAGAGGCATCCGGAAGAGTCCAGACTGAATGTGATCAGCAGAACATGGCCACCTCCCTACGGGCACCCCCTTTCCCCCACTTCCCGCTCCGCGCAGTAGGAAGAGTGGCAGAAGCCAGAGAGGGAGAAGAGAGGGCAAGGAGGCCAAGAACAAGCCAGTCAGGAGCCAAGAGGCCAAGAGAGCCAAGGGGCCCGAGTTCTATAGGAATCAGAAGTTGGGAGAAGGGAAGCTAAGTCAGCCTGGGAATGAAGAGGCTTCGGGCTGGGGGCAGGGGCAGAATGAGAAGTGCTGGGAGGAGCCACAGGTACTGAGTGAGACTTGTCCCTGGCTTCTTTGGGATCTAACAGGGACACACACTCCCATCCCAAAATTGTATGACAGTTTCTTCCTGAGAATTTCCACTCATGTGTATGAAATTGTCAAACTAAAACATACCCATAGCCACAGAGGTGGGCACTGAATAGCTATGTGGCTCCAGACGGCAGCACAATCAGGGAAGTTTTCAATTGACCTTTAGAATCTAAAACACAAGAGCAATTTTTTTTTTTTCTGGGAACCTCACTAACGAGCTGGTCATACATCGCATTTTGTGTCCTATGACACTAGGAAGACTCATTGAGTTTTTATGAAAACAGTCTTTGGGACAGAAACAATTGGTAAAGCCACTCAATAAGAAGTCCCTGAGTCACATCAGATTCAGCTGCTGTGACCTGATTCTGATTCTTCTATATCTGACGTATTTGATCATGACATTTAATAGGACTATTAAACTGAACATACAAACACTGAACGACTCAGAACACAACTACCAAAAAAATAGAGGTAGCAGATGAGGAAATCACCTTTTAATAAGCTAAAACCCTGCTGTTTTAGCTATGTTTTTGACATATATAGATAATGTTTCCCATGGGGTATGTGTCTCATATTCTATGTAATATTTTCCATTAGTGATATTTAAATTATCTTTTTAGTTTTTGTTTTCTCTTTATCATTTTGACTCACTATTACTTCATATGCAGTAGCTGGGTTTCTCCCCCCTTTATTGGACAGATATTTTCCCATTTTATTGGAAATAGATTTTCTTCATACACTATATCCTGATCACAGTTTCCCCTCTTTCAACTCCCAGTTCTTCCCCACCTCCCTTCCCATCCAGATCCATTTCCTTTCTGCCTTTCATTAGGAAACAAACAGGCTTCTAAGGTACAATATAATATGAGACAATATAACGTACACAATTATATAACACAACAAACTATAATAAGATAAAACAAAAACCACAATGGAATTGGACCAAACAAACAGAAGGAAAAGAGCCCAAGAAAAGATACAGGAATCAAAGCCCCACCTGTTGGCAAGCTCAGGAGTCCCATAGGAAGGTTATACTGGGAGCCATAGCGTATGCACATTGCCAGCCCCGTGCTTGCTGCCTCAGTCTCCTTGAGTTCCTAGGAGCTTTGATTGTGTAGATTTAGAGGGCGTTGTTCTCATTGTTCTCGTGTCCTCCATTCCCTTTGGCTCTTACACTCTATCCACGGGGTTCCCTG